CAAAGCCAGAGTTACATAGCCAGACTCTCAATGCAGAAACAAAGTAAAACCCCATCAAAAACCTAATTCTGAATAAATGACTAATCGTGTATGCACTTTTGCTGAGGACAAAATTTTCTCCTTAAAAAGTCAGAAAAGGTTCGATAGACCTCTGGAAGTAGATAACAGAATTTAAATTTTTTTTTTTTTTTTTTTTTTTTTTTGGTTTTTCGAGACAGGGTTTCTCTGAGTAGCTTTGCGCCTTTCCTGGAACTCACTCTATAGACCAGGCTGGCCTCGAACTCACAGAGATCCGCCTGCCTCTGCCTCCCGAGTGCTGGGATTAAAGGCGTGCGCCACCACTGCCCGGCTCAGAATTTAAATTTTTAAAAAATATTTCATTTAAAGTCCAGCAGAAAAAATGTGAATTCTTTTTTTTTTTTTCCCGAGACAAGGTTTCTCTGTGTGGCTTTGCGCCTTTCCTGGAACTCACTTGGTAGCCCAGGCTGGCCTTGAACTCACAGAGATCCGCCTGGCTCTGCCTCCCGAGCACTGGGATTAAAGGCGTGCACCACCACCGCCCAGCATAAAATGTGAATTCTTTGAGTTGTATTTGAATGTCTTCCAAACATAGTACAAAATCAACACACAAAATCTTTCATAACCTCATTATTTTTGTAAGGTCTTGCTAATTGCCCAGGCTAGCTAGCCTCAACCTTACAATCAAGTCAGCTCCGCCTCTGGAACAGCTGGGATTATAATCACTTGTAACATGTGTCTGGCTCTATTTTTTATCTTTGCCAACAACATACTTTCTAAGAGACTGTTTAGTAATTATTTTCAACTGTTGCTTTTTATTTATGAAGTTCAATAAGCATTTTACAAAATGCTTTTATTTTCATCAAATACAACACGTGAAAAAAACCCATGATGTTTTAAATATGGATGTTTTCTTTCAAATAACCATATAACATTATTGTATTAACCCTTATACAATAGTTATAACTCAAATTTATATATTGAATTATTTAGTACCTATTATTTTGCAGGCACTATTCTAAAAACTCAGAATACAGGGATAAATGAACTTAAGTACTATGAATTTCCTCATTTTGCATGATAAAATTGGGGCATCTAGCTAAAAACTTGTAGAAAAATTTTGAAGTCCTGGCTCCAATGGAGGTTTTACAAATCCTTGTAGTATTTTGTATTTTTTTTCTTTTTTTGCCTTTTTAAGACTTTATCAACAAATAGGTATGGCTCAACTAGGTGGAATAGCCATTTCATTTTTCTTTGGAGAATGTTGACCAATTTTTCAAAAGACTGCACAGTTCAAGACTTGATTTTAAATAACTGGGGATATTCCTCCACATTTTATCTCCATTATTATAGGTATATATACACAGCATCCTTTCCCTACTACTCCAGGTAGGCAAACTGAGCTAAAGTTCATAAAACCCTCCCTCAGATTAGAAATGTGTCCATGAGTCAAGGTAATTAGGCCTTACTGTCTAGGTCATAGTTAAATGGCTTCATATGTCTTCTTTGGGATTGATGGAATCAAATACATGTATTTGTCTTTGCTGTGGAAGTGATTTGAGATTATTGTTAGTTATTTGTTATATATGAATATGAAGGGTCTCCCCACTTGTCCAATCCATCAGGGTATTTATGTATCAGGGGATTAATACCTTAATGGTTTACATGATGGTATTATTGGGAAGTAGAAGGCAAAGGTGCCCTGGAAAGGCTTCTCTTCTCCCTAACTCCTTCCTATCCTTCTGCTGCTTGGCTGCCAAGGGTGAGCAGTGTCTGCCATGTCCACAGCCATATTCTGGCTCACCTCAAGATCAAATTAATGGATCTAGCTGACTTTCACTGAAACCTTAGAAACTATGAACCAAAATTCCTCCCTTGTTTTTGTCTGGCATTTTATCTCGTATTTATGACAGCAAATCAACACACCATTTGGCTTCAAGAGAAAATAAATCTACAATGCTCAAAATATAGAGAAAATTGGGTAGGACACTGACCTATATTATATATATGATTTATCCTTGCCTTTTCTGGTTAAAGGCATATAAATTATGTTGAGTCCAGTGATTTTAAGTTTCAATATTTTAACAAAAATACTAAGTAAAATATGAATGTAGAATAATTTTCTATTAATATATAGAACTATCTTGAGTAGCTTATCTATTTCACTAAAAAAATAGTTTACAAAGCATTCACCCTCAAATTCCAAGTGATTATGAAGCATTATTTCAGCAGTTCTACAAAATCACAATTTAACTAGGAAGACAAAAATGTTTTATTTTAAACCGCTGGAAAACCAATGTGTTATATTAGAAACGTGAAATATGGAAATTGGTCTTCTGAATGTGGTACATACTCCCAGATAGCTAAATACTGCAAATGATCCTATTACCTTCTCTCACATCAACAAGACTTGACAAAGTTAGAGATGTCCCAAGGGTCTGCTAATCATTCATTATCCAAAGTCACCATCTTTGGGTTCAACTCATTTACACAAGTACAAGTTGTGTAAAGTTCTGTCCAAGATGTTCCTGACACATGAAGCTTCCAGTTGAATTTCAGAAAAGTTAAGAAAAGTATCTTCCTTTTTTGCCTGTGAATGTTTGCGTATTGCTGTACTGTTGGCTTATATCCACTACAGATACTGGTTCTAGGCCAGCCCAAGGGTCTTCAAGCATTGAAGGCTTAAAATAACTTTCCAACTCATTAGACATTCTTTTTTCTCTACCACGCCCTGATCCAAATGGTGTAGATGTCCTTGGAGAACCCTTTAGGAAAAAAATCATCAGTTAAAAAAACATCTAATAGAGATAATTGGTACTTTTGACTCTAGTTGAAGATTAGTGGTGATCACATGAAAAGTTGAAAACTGAAGCCCAATATATTCAGTTGCAAATTTCTTTTTCTTTTTTAAACCATCCGGGCTTGGTGGCCCACGTATTTAATCCCAGTAAATAGGAGAGAGGCAGGCATGATCTCTGAGTTCGAGGCCAGCCTGGTCTACAGAGCTAGCTCCAGGACAGCCAAGGCTGTTACACAGAGAAACCCTGTCTTGAAAAATAAAATAAAAATAAGAATTACTAAAACCAACTGTATATTTCGTTTTTAAAAAATGCCTATTATCTTTTGAGTTTCTAATGTGATAACCCTGCAGCTATTAAATACAAATAAATCCAGTACAAGCAGTGATCAAATTAATTGTATTCAATTTTTCTTGAAAACTTTTTAACCTAAGTCTCAAATCTCTACAACTTTTATATTGCACGAAAATTTCCTATACTTTTTAACTCCAACTCAAGGGATTCAGTCGGGTGAGAATATTCAAGTTTTCAAAACACCGTAGATTGAAATTGTTAACCAAAGAGCTACTTCCTGCCTTGTGTTCACTCATTATGAGGAAGGGAAATTTCCACAACACCCAATTCTTGATTTTTTTCCTTCAAGAGAACTTGGAGTAGAAGTTAATATATCTCGGGAGAAAATTATAACGATTTTTTTTTTTTTTTAAAAGAGCAAGAAAGCAAAACCAAGGGATGGCCATCTGTAGGAAATGGCAGTGGACTATAGAGAAGCCATACAACAGTAGGGAATCATTCATGTTCTCTCCCTGGGAATCCAGGATTATTTACTTAAAATAACTGACAAAAAACCCTGTGGGGGGTGGGGGAGAAGAAATGGAGGATTAAGATAATTTGTATATGAATATGGTATACTCGTTAAGGGCACAATTTCTGTGGAACAGAGAACCATAGCTCTGTCACTTACGGTAATCTTAAATAATTTCTTCACGCTTCATTCAGTTTACTCATCTGCGAAATTGGGCCAACGTAGTATGTCACCTCACAGAGGATTAAACAATCCACGTAAAGGGAAGTTTAGTATCGCGCCTGCCATTACAGTAAGAGCTCGGCAAACGCTAGCTATTGTCTTTACCTGGGGGTAGGTCTGCTGCTGCCCTGGGGAGTAGCCGAACTGATGCTGGGACCCCGCGGGGGACCTGGAGTAGGAGCCTGGGTAGCCGCCCGGGGACGGAGACCCGAAACGGGCCCCCGAGAAGCTGCCGCCGTGCCGCGGAGAGTGGCTGCTCCCGTACGGCCTAGCCCGGGGCCCGCACGGTGGAGTGTGGTGCGGACTCCCGTACCCGTCCCGCGGGGAGGGCGGCCGCGGCCCCCCGCCCAGGGCACCCCGGAAGCTGCTTCCGCCACCCCAGCCTCCTATCCCCGGGCTGGGGTACGGAGGAGTTGGGGGTCGAAAATTCGGTCGGTGCATATCGGGAAATGAAGCTGAAGAGCTCGCTCGCCGACACTCTCACCGGAACTCCACCGATCGACCGCCAGAAAACTGGTATTCCTCTATTTATGTAGCCTTCCGGCTGCCAGCACCGCATGGCACTTTAGTTCCGGCTGCACAAAGGTTCCGACCTCACAAAGCTTCCGGAGGAAGGCGAGTAAGTAGGTCACTCAAGTAGGAGGACCGTGGGTATGTCTGAGAGGAGGAAAGACTGTAAAGGGGAAACCAAACCCTCGACCCCAGCAAGAACAGTGCCACCAGTGGCCTTCGGTTGGACCCAAGTACACGAAGGCAGAAGCGGAAGACACAAAACTCGTCGTCCTGCTTCATGGGCTGTGCGGGGCGTGGGGGAGTGCGGTTGCGTGGGAAAGGGGCGTGTCGGAGGAGGTGGTCCCGAGGGGGGGCGTGTCCGAGGGGTGGGGCCATTGGGCTCTGAGGCTTCGGGAAGGCGGGGCGTGAAGCGTCTGCCCCTCCAAAGGCGGGAGTCGTGGGACTGAGGTGGAGTCCAGCGCTAAGGCACGGGCGTGGGATGGGGAGGGGTGAGTCGAGGGGGCGGGGCTGAGGGGGCCTGAGGCGGAGACCAGCGCCCAGGCGCAGCGGTGGGGCGGGGTGAGTCCGAGGGGGGCGGGACCAAAGCCCTGGGCGGAGCTGGCGGACGGGGCGGGGCTGGCGGACGGGGCGGGGCTGGCCGAGGGTCCTAAGGGCAAGGTGGGAGGTAGCGGGTTTGCTCTCACTCGGCTGCAGGGGCGATGCTGTGGACGCTGGCCAGGGCGTTGGCTTTTCCGAGACCCGGCCGAGGCCGGGCCGGCGGGAGGGGGCTGTGGACCGGCCGCCTGCAGTCAGGTACCCTCCGACACTGAGCGCCCAGACTCCCTGAGGAGAGCGCTCGCGCCTCGGGAGCGCTTGTCGTGGGCCGCCGTCTCCCCAGGCCAGGCGACACTGCAGGGCTCGCGGCCGCGTTCGTGCCCTGCTTCTCCTCTCCACCCTTAACCTTCTAGTCCCCGAAGTTTTGGTAACTTAAAAAAAAAAAAAAAAACTCCCAAAAGCTGAGTTTTAGAAAGCAGACTGCTGACTTGATAACTTAAAGAGCCTGTACTAATTGTTGCTGGACTTGACCCCTGCGTTTCCGTTCTCGTGGAAGTTGACGAAGTTAGGAAAAAGTTTTTTTTTTTTTTTTTTTTTTTTTTTAAGTTTCTCAAGACAGGGCTTCTTTATGTAGCCGCCGGGGCTGTCCTGGAACTCGCTTTGTAGACCAGGCTGGCCTCGAACTCAACGGAGATCCACCTGCCTCTGTCCCCCAAGAGCTGGGATTACAAGTATACACCACCACCACCTGGTGAGCGGGGTAGGCATTTAGCTCAGTGGTAGAGCGCTTGCCTAGCAAGCACAAGGCTGTGTGGGTTTGGTCCTCAACTCTGGAAAAAAAAAAAAAAAAAAAAAAAGGTAACTGACTCTGCTTGTTTCTATAAGGTTGTAATCCATTAGGTTATCTGTGTGTGTGTGTGTGTGTGTGTGTGTGTGTGTGTTTGCAGTGGATATCAGTTTCATTTCTTTTCATCGTGCTGTATCTTCAAAACAAAAACCAACAACAAAAACCTACTTGAGAGCCCAATATATAAAAGCAGAAGAATAATGCTTAAAACAGAGATTGGAGACCCAGAATCCTGCTCACCTTGTGTTCTTACTTTGCCAACCTGCAAAGATACTCTGGAACCCTTCTGAGGAATTCCCAGATCTCAGCAAAAAAGATTCTGAACACCCCTCTTTTAGGTAAATGGCAGTAATCAGTGCTTCATTCATTGATAATTTGGTTATTTTAATGTGTCTGCAAAAAGTAAATAGTTTCATGTTTCTGCATTGCTAGTGCTTTTTAAATGGAAACTGGGTTAAAGGACAAGCCTTGGAAGTTAAAAGATGATTGATTAGATAGTTTGTAGTATGTGTTTATAGTTAAAGGTCTACAAACGGAGAGGCTTGGGTGCATTCTCAGGACTACAAACCCAGTGAGGTTGCTGTCCCCCTGGAAAGGCTGTATCCCACAGGGTAGGATCTCAGGCATCAGTTTACCACCCCCCCCCAGGAGTATTTGCTCCCATTTATCAGAGGAACGTGGCAGCTGGACTATCATCCTGCACAAACTCCTAGATTCATAATTTTTGGAATCTTCTCTTATGGTTCAACCCTGTAATGTAGGTTACGGAGAAGTGAATGTATGAAAGTGGATTCTAGATATAAAGCAAAGAACAATCAGACTGCAACCCACAGAAGCAGGGAGGCTACATAGCAGGGGGGACCCTAGGATGACTGCAGCTTATAATAAGTTTTGGTTTTACTCAATTACTGGGCAAGCCTCAATGAAACATTTCACAATTAGGATAAGAATTTATACTGTATCAAGCTGATAATAGAAAAATAAATTTAAAAAAGTAGAAAAGAATATGATTAGCTCATTCATTAATAGAAAGGAGTGAACCTACTTCAAACACAGTAAATCACTTAATATTTCTATTGACAAAGATTTAAAGAACTGTTTTTAAGTCTCTCAAGAGTCAAATTCCATTGCTTTGTTAAAATTTATTCCTTTTTCATTTCTAAGCATGTCAGGCACAAGAGAAATGTATTATACATATTTACTTCTTTTCTGACTAATATGCTTCACCCGTGCCTAATACATGTATTAATGCAGTTATATCAACAGATGTTTCCATTGAAATTAATAAAAATACTTACAGAAATAGTTTTATATGAAGAAATAGAGTTGAAAGGACTATATGTGAGTTTCAAAGGAACATTGAGGGTAAGTAGTTTATTTTATTTGTTTTTTCGAGACAGGGTTTCTCTGTTAAAAGTCCTGGCTGTCCTGGAACTCACTCTGTAGACCATACTGGCCTCAAACTCACAGAGATCTGCCTGCCTCTGCCTCCCAAGTGCTGGGATTAAAGGTGTGCGCCACCATCACCTGACCGAGGATAAGTAGTTTATAAGAAGGGCTAATAATACTATGAACAAATAGATACTAGCATGGCGCAGGCTCTGAAGAATTTAGAAACAGAGAACGTGGTGGGTACTCTGCAACAGAGTCAGGCTCATGAGGCAGGAGTTGGGGCCTTTTTAAAAAATCAGTCTCTGAGGAAGTGTGGGGACTTCATAGCACAAGCCTGCATCTGGGCTGTCTGGTTTCCAGCAGAAGGCAGGAGAACAGAGTATATGCATGACCACCAATACCGACTTTTGTCAATCAGTACCCCAGGTGAGAACTCCTGGCACCTAGAAGTCTATTAGCTGGAGATTCAGTTTCATAGTAGGGTGCCTGTCAGTATATGTAAAAGGGATGAGGCTTCTGCAGGTATTGTGGCCTGACCATCAGTCTGGCTGGAGCCTGACATTAGAAGTGTGAGTCATGTTTTCTAGAAATAAACACTGAAAGATTCCTTTAAATGAGCAGATGACATTGTAATATCATTGGAATCTATCTTCGTAGTTTTCCAGTTATAAAATGATACATGTGCTTTCATGATTTGAGTCCCCTCCAAAACACAAGTTGAAGTTTAATCACAACTATCATAGTGTTGGCCTTTAAAAGATGTTTAGACTTTGAGACTCAGCCCTCATGAAGGGTTAGCATGGTTTTAAGTTAGTTATTAGCAGAGTGGTTTGTTATAAAATCAAACTCAGCTTTGTTATCCCTGTTGTTGCTGGCCTTTGTTCTCTTGTTTTCTGCCATGGGGAATGGAATACAAAGGCTACATGTAGGCACCGTCCCCTCTTGGATGTCCCAGCTCTTAGATTATGAGAAATAATCTCATTTTTAAATAAATTACTCAGTCTCTAGTTTTCTGTTATAGCAGCAGAAAACCAGCAAATAAAGCATTTTTTGCACGAAAAGTAAAGATTTAGAAACATAAAAAACAAGAGAAATACTGAACTTTTATACAAGAAGCAACTACTTGATATTTTAATAGGAAAAACATCAGATCTTTTTAAAATATGAAATAGAAACTTTTTAAATGGGCAAACCAACTATAAATGGTTTAATCCGGGATTGGGAAAACCTCAACCTGTGCATTATTTATTTCTACTAAATAATGACTGGTTAAAATAGGTTAATTTTTTTTTTTTTGAGACAGGGTCTTACTAGGGAGCTCTGGTTGGCCTGGAACTCTCCATTTGTAGGCTGGTCTCATAGGTATCTGCCTTCCGCTGTCTCAGTGTTGGGACTGAAAGTATGTACTTACCACGTTTGGCTAAAAGTTAATATTTTTGCTACCAAAATCTATATAAATCAATAAAAAAGATTAAGGTGCTTTTTGAAATATGAGCTGTTAGGGTATTTGATGTTGTGAGGGTCAGTTGAAGAAAAGAAAGAGGGTTACTTCAGAATGTAATTTAGGCTCTTTGGCAGCAGGGGGGAACAGTTTCCATGAAGTGAACCCTGAACAGCAGTGCAAAGTCATATTTATTGATTGTTACACAAAAGTTGTTTTTTTGGTAAAACAAGTTCCCCATACCAAAGGCCCTGACCTAATCTGTATGATTTCTGAAGGAAAACATCACACCCCTGCCACTTAGTCCTTATTGTATACTGTTTGCAGTACCCAGTAATGCAAGATGATCCAGGAGTGCCAGGACTGTCTTGTGACCAAAGCCATGCAAAGACTGTAAAGCTACTTCAGAAAACTCTATAGATAACAGAAAACAATCACTGCTTTCCACAATGATTTCTTCGAGTCTAAGTACTTCTAGAAAACACCTGTTCTGATGTTTACCTTAGGTACAGTGAAAACAACTATTTCATTTTAATGTTTACCCTAGATATGAGTCTACTAATATTTTCTCTACAGTAAGCAAATAACCAAGAGTAATTTACAAGAAAAGATACAAAAATATTCTATGTATAAACTAATGATAGTAGTACTCAATTTTTTAACTGTCAGATTTGTAACAAACGAAAACAAAAACCCCAAATCAAGATTATATTCAAGATATGGGAGATGATGGAAAACACTATCTTTGTACACCGCTAGTGCCAGCACATATGAATGAAACTTTTCTGGTGGACAATTGGATAATATCTATTAAAAGTTCTAAAGCACTTAGCATGTAAACATAGTTAGGCTACCTCAATACTAGTCTTTTTCCTTAGAAACAAACTCCTTGCTTTTGCTCCATTTCCCCAAACTCTAAAAGCCTTGTTAAACATTAACTTTACCTTTCCTATTCAAAGACTTTGGAAAGATGCCATAATCCTTTATACACAAAGTATCTCTACACATCTCTCTTGTTCTTCACAGTTACCTGCTGAAAGCTATCACAGGTCAAATAAAACCTATCTTGCAGACATATTCATCCCCACATTTCTTCAGTGCAATCCCTTGCTCTCCCTTGAATATTCTTTGGAGCTACACATGTGCAATGTTCTGTGAAATAAGGGCTCAATGTTCTTTTTAATATATTTTTATTCTTTGAGAATTTCATACCGCATGTTTTATTCTATTTTTGAAATTATGATATAATTCTGTTGTCTATCTCCCTTCCATTTCCTCCTTCCAAACCCTCCCATATACCCATCCTTGTTTTCTTTCTAATTTGTGTTTTCTTTTTTCCTTTTCTCTCTCTCTCTCTCTTTTTTTTTTTCCAAGACAGCTTTCTCTGTGTAACAGTCCTGGCTATCCTGGGACTTGCATTGTAGATCAGGCTGGCCTCAAACTCACAGAGAGCCGCCTGTTCTTGCCTCCTGAGTGTTGGGATTAAAAGCATTTGACACCACTGCCTGGCCCTCCTGACTTCTTTTTTCATTAATTGTTGTTACATATTTACTTCCCCTCGCTGCCCCTTAACTCTTT